TCATAGCACAGAAACTGCGCTAGTTAAAATTACAAATGATTTACTTTTAGCTTCTGACCAAGGCTGTATCTCAATATTAGTTCTACTCGATCTTAGTGCTGCGTTTGACACTATCGATCATAAAATACTCTTGGATCGACTACAAATCTACACTGGTGTTCAGGGACAGGCATTAAGCTGGTTCAGATCGTATTTATCAGACCGTTACCATTTTGTTTGTTTAAATGGGGAAAAATCGAAGATAACGTCAGTAGACTATGGAGTGCCGCAAGGATCGGTGTTAGGCCCTCTGCTATTCTCAATATATATGCTGCCACTTGGTAATATTATAAGAAAACATGGAATTAATTTCCACTGTTATGCTGATGACACTCAATTATATATTTCATCACGGCCAGATGAAAACACTAACTCATCAAAATTGACAGAGTGTCTTAAAGATATAAAATGCTGGATGATGCATAATTTCCTGCTACTAAATCCAGATAAAACGGAGGTATTACTTGTTGGTCCAAAAAACTATCCACAAAACCACTTACAATACAACTTTAATATAGAAGGATGTCCTGTTACTTTATCCTCTACGGTAAAAGACCTGGGTGTTATACTAGACCACAACTTGTCTTTCGAAAATCATATTTCATATGTTACAAGAACAGCCTTTTTCCATCTTAGAAACATTGCTAAATTACGTAACATGCTATCTGTTTCCGATGCAGAAAAGTTAGTTCATGCATTCATGACCTCGAGACTAGATTACTGTAATGCTTTATTAGCTGGTTGTCCTGCATCCTCAATAAACAAGCTACAGTTAGTGCAAAATGCAGCCGCTAGAGTTCTTACTAGGTCCAGAAAATATGATCATATAACACCAATTTTATCATCTCTACACTGGTTACCTATCAAGTTCCGTATCAATTACAAAGTACTATTACTGACCTATAAAGCCCTAAATGGTTTAGCTCCTGTGTATTTAATGGACCTTCTATCGCCCTACAATCCATCGCGTTCTTTAAGATCACTAAATTCGAGGCTTCTAGTCATTCCTAGGATATCTAAGTCCACTAAAGGAGGGAGGGCGTTCTCACATTTAGCTCCTAAACTCTGGAATAGCCTTCCTGATATTGTTCGAGGCTCTGACTCGCTGTCCCAGTTTAAAACTAGATTAAAGACGCATCTTTTTAGCCAAGCATTTACATAATGCTTACCTTTTATAATACTGCTGAATCAGATCAAATGCATTTAATACTATAAAACTTGAAGAGACTGTAGGTTATCTGTATAGGTTGCATAGTATTTGCAGTCATTACGTTCCTGTGGATATTGCGTGAATGACGGGTGGTTGGGCAGATATTGTGTTGCGGTAGGTAGTATGCCATACGGAACCGTTGTCCACTGAAACTGCCTATTCACGCACCAGTGGGGCTCGACAGCCTTAGTCAACGGGTTGGCGCGTATGGTTGGGCTGCGGAGAGATTGTGAGATTGTGGTTAGGTCTCAGCAGCAGGAGGGACGTAGAGGTCAGTAAGCTGGGCTGAGTTGAGTGGGGGACGGAGGGGGGTGATTTTGGGACGCAAGAGTCACTGTCTTCATGTTTTGTCATTTACGCCTGTGTTATGGAAATCATCATTATGAACAGCAGCTACGCTAATTATTTTCCCTTTGCTTTTCTGCTGTTATCTCGGGACGCGAGTCCCGAGAAAATGGCGTTCATCAGCTCCAGTTTGTATCCAGCCTCTCACGGAGACTTCAGATGCTCCAATCACAAAGCCTGTGAAGTGACGACTCAGCACGGGCGATATGGACTCTCTATGGTGGACGGCACTGATCCTCAACAACTCGTCTTAAGACCGGCGTGCATACTTGGACTTCCAAAAAATACTCTAAATGTTCCGATCCAATCTGACTTGTAATGCTGCCCGAATCATGCACTGTTCCTTCGTTGGCCAGAGGAGAACTGGCCCCCCGACTGAGTCTGGTTTCTCCCAAGGTTTTTTTCTCCATTCTGTCACCTGATGGAGTTTTGGTTCCTTGCCACTGTTGCCTTGGCTTTTGGCTTGCTTAGTTGGGGACATTTAACATTTAATATTATTGATCTGCCTTACTTAAGGTGGACGTTGACGCAATTTCTTTTAGAAACAAACTTTGTTATATTGTTTTCATGTTATCACTGTGAAGCGCTTTGATACAATCTGTATTGTAAAAAGCGCAATATAAATAAAGGTGACTTGACTTGAATTGAAATTTGGCGGTATGGCTCTGTTCAGGGAGTCCTCTGACCTTTCATGAGCACCATGAAATAGCAGAGAGTCAGAGGACAGCAGCAGCAGCATTAGGGAACGCTCACACAGTTTTAGACTGTGAGAGCTAAAATATCCCCCCAAACAAAACCACACCTGGCAATCCTCTGTGATACAGAGGATGATTTATTTGACTACATGAGCTATTCCCCCCAAAACAAAATTGAGTGTCTCGAACGGTGTCGACTGAGCCGCCCTAATTTAGCGATTTATAATAGTAAAAATATTAATTAATTACTGAAATGACTAATCAAGACCGCAATAGCTAAAACATGCTGTTACCTAGATTATCTTTCTTTAAACTGTTTGACAGTCTACAGTGTAAGCTCTATGGATAGATGACTAATCCACCTCTGAGAACGAGCTAGATGAATAAATTAACAGCTGATAGCGCATTCAGGGGCGTTAACCTGTTAACTGTCACCCCCCTTTTTTTGAATTGACATGAAAATGCACATTTCGAACATAAATGGTTGTAATTCAAGAATGCTTTGGCATATAGACGTAAGATTGGTCTTGTTTTAAAGAAGACATTTGGCAGATTTATGTAGAAGTGAAATAAATTAAGAAAGTGAAACAGAAAAAAAGTTATAGAAGTTTGAGTTTATGGAAATGTACAATGTAAAAAAATTAATTATTCATATTTTATATAAAATATATATTTTCAAAACCTGGGCTACTCTAAAACTGCAGAGAATTCAAAGCCAAAAATCTGAACAAGTTGTGTTTCAAATTTTAGGTTGATATCTCAAAAAATGAGCTTTCAGTAAGATTTTGTTTGGGCGCAGTACCAAACTTTTTCACTAGGTCACAACCAGACTCCATTACTGCCCATATAAGGGCGCCTCCATTTCCAAATGTGTTTTGAGTGATATGAACCATTATTTCCACAATTTTCATACAATTTATGAAGTAGAGATCCTATTCAGAAGTAGTATGGGAAAGTTTGGCAGATTTTGATATGAATTCAACCTCTAATAAACACATACAAAGAACACGCATGTGCGTCATAGCTCGCTGCCACATCACAAATGGTGAATTTATTATTTTTTTCTTTATATTTAAAACATTTTCAGACCTTTTTTTCTAAAATAATTGAATGGATGCTATCTTTTGAACTCTTGGCATGAAAACAAACTAGGTTTCTACAATTTTTTTCATGATTTTTCATGTTCATTGCTATTTCAAAATAAAGGTCTGAACACGCCTTAGGAGTATGAAAATATTATTGTTGCAAATTGATAAATTACGGCTCCTCTGTAATTTATTTTGAAAATCAATCACCAAATATGGAAACTAGAGATTGTAAGCTTTCAAATGATATATAGTTTGTCAATATTACTTAAGGTTTTAACTAAGATATTATTGTTTTAAAAATATAATGGCAAACGTCCCACCTGTGGGACGGTGACAGTTAAGAACTGAGCAGAGCGCGAGCAAATTAATGATCAAATGTGTTTTATTAACGAAACAAATTAGAGACTTGAGCTCATGGCTTTCTGGCGTCAAGAATATCCCGAACATCGGGACGGAGGTATCGTTCGTAAGCAGCAGAAACCACCGCCCCATAGCTTAAAGGGTTAAACCGGCGCGAGTGTCGCCGCCGTAGTTGCTGCACAATGCGTAAGAATGAGCTGTATACGGTCCGGAGGCAGTCCGCATAAGTTAATTCCTATCACAGCAAGCTGCTTGAATCTGCGCTGCATAGTGGTAAAAGTCAGCATGAGCAACGCGATCAGTTGCCAATGACAACAATAGTAACGCACATAGCCAATATGATCGCATAGCATTTTTACGAAAACGACTATTAGATAAGCCCAAATGCCACACGGATAGCATTAACAACAAGCATGTTGCCAACACACCGATGCTTTTAGCAATGAATATTAAAAGGAACTTAGCTTCGTGAAAACTTCAGAGATGAATGGAGAACGAATCACGTCGAATCCTGTGTCAATATTGCAGCAGAAGCGAGCAGCGAGCCAGCAGAGCGAGCAGCAAGCATGTATGAGCAAGGTGAATGAGCTTTAAATAGGGCGCCTTGTTTGAGCTTTTCCATTGAGCAGCGAGGGGAGTCAACCAGCTAATGCAGCTCAGCTGGAGCAGATCAGCTGACGGGACAGTGTTGATAGCATAAGCAGCGGCTTGACTACCTGGCCTGCCAGAACTGACGCTAACGCTCAATTTGTCTTTGTAAAGAATTGCTCGCTTATATATGTAGCTTTGGAGCCGCTGCTGTGACACTTGATTGGTTCCCTAGATGAGGCGAAAATTTGGTCCATGGTATCCAGACTACCTAGCAGCGTGAATAAAATCGCGCTGCGGTAAGGCAGTATGGGGAAACCCAGGCTAGCACAATATCGGACCTCACTGAGAAGCTGCAGCCGTGGCGGGATGATTTTTGGTGTGGCGGCCCGACACCACGGCGGAATGAATGTAGCGGAAACACTGAGTAATTAATAACTATATAAGCCTCAAACCAAAAACACATCTATATGATTTCTACAATAAATTTCACATTTAAACTGACAATAAACTTACCTTTATAAGAAATGAGTGATGTACAAATTCATCAAAATCATGTCTAATCTAATAGTTTCAACAAGGTTAACCTACTAGTCATTATTGGGATATGGGATAAAAATACCTGGTCATGTTTAATGTTTGAAATTTTACAGATAAATTTGACTGCACACTTACAGTTGGTTTTTTACCCTCCTTCATCAGTGTCTTTCTCCGCAGGGGTCCTTCAATGGTTATGCTGCTCAAAGAACTGCATTCATAGCTGGATACGGACCCTGGGGTGCTGATGAGGAAGTAAGAGGATCATCTTTACCTCACGGTTTCCCCAAGCATAATGTAATAAGGATATGCAAATCAATTGGAAAAAAGGCAGTTGTACACAAGAAAGACCCATTTGAATACTTAAAAAGACAATAGTATGAATTTGAGTTGTGTACTTTATAGACACACAATTAACAGCTACAAGGTTTCCTACCTATACATATAACTTCTGCTTCTAGGAGAGTTACAGATTGGGACTCGCCAGTTTGGACCAAGTGTTGCGTACATACGGCCTCTGAAAGTGATCAGAAGGAGGGATGTGTTTTTCATTTGTATTAAGAAAATAGTCACAGATAAATAACAATAAATGTTGACATTGGACATTCTGAACATTGCTACGTAAAACAGCAAATGTGTAGAACTTTAAGAGGGAAAAAGGACAAATTACACACACACACACACACACACACACACACACACACACACACACACACACACACACACACACACACACACACACACACACACACACACACACACACACACACACACACACACACACATGAATATGTGGTTTATGGGGACTCTTCATAGGCATAATGGTTCTTATACTGTACAAACTAGAGGTCTGCTACCCGACCCGAGGCCGACGGGTCCCGAAAAATGTGCGGGTTTCGGGTCGGGTTCGGGTAAATGTTTAATGAACAGCCTCGGGTTCGGGTCGGGTTCGGGTTTAACTAAGAAAAACTAAATAGGCTATATATAGTTCGCGAGAGAGAGAAAGTACATACGTGCGCAGATGTGAAATATGTGCATACACACAGTCAGACACAGGCTCTCTCTCTCAAATATAATGATAATGATATATATATATATATATATATATATATATATATATAATTTTTTTAAATTATTTGTTTTATTTTATCATATCATTTATATCACAAAACTGTTTTGCGCATGTGCTACCGCTCTCACGCGCTATTTCAGTCACAATACAGACAGACAGCAGACGACAACAAGCAAACCATGAGTCTGATAAAGCAAAAAATTACTGAGGGAAAACTTATGACAGTTCCAAATGATGCAGGAAAAGCTGCAATCTGGAAGCATTATGATCTTGTCGTTTCAACCAGTAAAGAGCCCAGTGGTTACGTGCAGTGTAGAGCTTGCAAAGCTGTCTTGGCGTATGACAGCAAAAAGACAGGTACATCTGAGAAGGATGTTTGTGTAAATAGTTTTGCAACACAGTGCGTGAACTTTTTAAAGTTTAAAGTTTGAGTTCCAGAGAAATGTGTGACTGTTACACCTGTTCGACCACAGCAAAGTTACGTAATTGGTAAGTTTTTTCTCTTACTGCTGTGCTGCCTGCTGATAGGGCCGCTGCGCCTACATGTATTTGTTTAATATGTCAAGCAATCATTAAATACAACATAACATATTGCAAAAATGGTATTTGCTGTGAGAAACAGAATGGACCTCGGGTTCGGGCTTAATATGTAAATGTAATTGTCGGGTCGGGTCGGGTTAAATGATCGCGGGTACGGGCCGGGTTCCGGCTTCAGTTTAAAGCCCGTGCAGACCTCTAGTACAAACGGTACATTGTATCTCTTATTCCTAAACCAACCATCATAGAAAACTTTTGCCATTTTTTTAATAAAAAAAAAAAAAACATTTAGTATGCACCCTTGTGAACCATGATTATGTTGTAATTACGTTGTAAATAATATCATTATACACATTTGCATCCTCAAAACCATATATACAAGAACACAGACAGACAGACAGACAGACAGACAGACACGCACACACACACACATGCAACACAACACTAATTGCAATCTATATTCTATTCTAATGAATAATAATGATGTGTAATTAGCCTTACCTCTCAACAGTACTTGATAATTCATCACTAAAAGAGCTCTCTCTACTGCCTGCAGAGGGACAGAGAAAAGATTAATGTCAAGAAAAACAAACATATTATCTTTTTTTCTTATAATAAATTCAGAAAAGGTGGTAACAGAAAAAAAAAATCCACAATGAAGATGACAGGTCTTTAAGAATAAATGAATGTTAAGTTTTCAAAAGGCAAAAACCCACTGCACAAAATCTTGAACACCACTCCCATCTAGTGGTGAAAAATAAAAGACAAATACAATTCCAACACAGCAGTAATATTTTATGGTGGTAATGGTGGAACACTCCTAAATTAGGACACAGACATCCTTGCACTAATCCTGTGTTAGTGGAACAAAGACTGAGATTGTGTACAATAGGAATAAACTGCAGTACCCAGTGAGATGCCGTTGGTAAATACTGAATCATGTGTGTGGTTTCTGACAGGACTGTGAGACTCTAAGAAGCTGTCATCCAGTAGGTGTCGAGCCTTTTCTTTTGCAGGGAATGTCGCACTTTTACTCTCCACTACACCAAACTGGCACATCATACTGTGACGAGACGGGTGAAGTGAAACAGAGAGAGGCAGTCAGATTAAGAAATGTGTTCCCTTGTGAAAAAGCTGTGCAGTTGTATTGAATGTGAACTTGCAGATAATATAATACTAATGAAATAAATGGCCACTTAAGTGAACTTGAAGAGAGTACACTTTTATGACTGTTTCTTAACACACTTAAGTACTCGTTAAAAAAGTGCACTTTGTAAAAATGTCACATTAAAAGTAAAAAGTTCTTTTAAATCATTGTTTTACTCTTTTGTCATTCTTTAAAAAAAATACACTTATTTTGATGTGTTGACTAACATACTAAAACACATGCAAGGTACTTGATTATAGGTTTAACTGTAGTGTTATTCAATATTACATTTAAAGTTAACATATTTGAAAAGCACTAAAATGCAACTTAATTTAAATACTTGACACCTTTCAATAGAAATTACATCAAATCATATTTTAGTTTACGATAAATGCTCATCAGTTCATTAGTAAACAAACCATATTTCCAAAGAAAATAGAACTGTGAAATTATATATAAAGATAAGCATAAGTGGGTAAAAAAAGAACACTACGGTTCAGCTAATTGCATTTAATATCAATTTAAAATATAATACATTCTTATTTCATTGTGTCTGAAAACATTACATTAATTTCACACTTACACGTAATATCATTCCTGTAATAAGTACTCTTTTTAAAACGACGCTAAAATTTAAAAAGGTTAAAGGCAACTGCTTTTTATCTCCATTTTGGAGCAAAGTTATATTGTTTTTTATTTATTTGAATTCCTTGTGTTGTGATTGGTAAACTTTCCACACAATGTACTGTGGTACTTACTTATTCCCCAGACTGTGGCTCTTTCTGTGTCGGGCAGGGGGTGGTGTTGGGAGGTGGGCAACCACTGATGTATCAGGACAGGTCGGTCGTCGGTTATACCGACTAAGGTTATACACTTCTGAGGGTCCTGTACACACACATGCACACACACGTTTTCATGTTTTAAGGGGACTTTCCATAGACATAATGATTTTTATACTGTACAAACTGTAAATACTATCCCCTAACCATAAACCTACCCATCACAGAAAACGTTCTGCATTTTCATCATTCAGTGTGATTTATATGTCATGATTCTGCCATCATGTTATTGATTATTCTTAGTCTTGTGGCAGGATCATGACAGAACCAATGTTTTGTGTACAAGCGCATGGCCAATTGTTTGGCCATGTGCTTGTGTTGTCTCGTCTTGTAACCCCGCCCCCTTGTTATCCGTGTTTAGTCATGATTGCCTTGTCAGCGTCACCTGTTCCCCTCGTTAGTTTCTTGGTATTTATTCCCCTTGTGTTTGCTGTCTTGTGTCGGTTCATTGCTTTATCTATGCTGAATGTTGTCAGATCGCTCTTTGTTGCTATACCTTGCCATTTATTACCCGTGAGTACTTAGTGTAGAGTCTTGTCTTTGTGAACGTTTATTTGAAGTTTTGTCAGTTTATTGTACAGTCATTGTCTAGTCTAGTCTGCCATCCTTTCCTTGTCTTAGTCGTGTTTTGCCCCCTCGTGGGTTTTGTTTTCCTGTTTTGTTCCAATAAACCCCCTGTTCGTTGCACTCTGTCTGTTTTGGGTTCATCTCCTTTCGTCCACATAACATTATAAGCTGTTTTCCTCATGAGGAACATTTCCACACACACACACACACACGCACACACACTCCATATCAAGGTCTTAAAGATCTCCTTACTTGTTAAAACATTGAAGCTACATTGAAACATAGATCGCTAGATTGTAGCTGCATTTGTAAAGCCTGTTCCTGTTCTGTTCAAAACAAACAACCACAAAATGCTTACTAAGCAACAATTAAAGCCTGTGGATAATTAGAAAAGATATGGCTCTCAGAAAGTTAACAGGACTAAAACATTTGAAAACAGTCCCATAGTTCCACTGCTGCAAGTTAGGCATCATGTCAAAGAGGACGGCTCAGTTTCTCGAACCAGCCACAGCTTTACTGGCCTGGTAAACAAGAATGTCACTCTGAAGTAGCTAAAATAAGTGGACGGCCAGTGAAAATGTTCCCTGCAGTCATGTTTACAGGCCTTTTTCCACAGTAAAGTCAAACCAGAGGGGGGTGTGTGGACATTTTGTAAATGGCTTTTGAGTATTAGGAGTATTATGTTAATCATAACATTCCCTACTGTCTTTTATAGTACGTTAATAGGTCTCGTAATGGGTAAGAAGACCCTTTACCTAAATGAAAATAGGATTTCTTCCCAACTAACAATCAGAAGAGAGAAGCTAAGTGATGCCAGTAGGGAGTGAATCATTAAAGGCCTTTCAAACACTAGATATATAGGCCAGGAAAACATAGTGGCTAACAGAGACTTGGCCACTATGGCAATGGCAATGGACAATGGACAATAACCAAGCGTAGCGTGACTCTCAGCTGATCCACGTCTACCTATAGGAATACGACGCCTATCACTGTATACATGTATAAGCTCCTTCAGTATTATCAGCAGCTATCGCGTTTCTCAGGAGCGAATTACCCTCCTCCCTCCCCAGCTCCTCCTCTCGCCAGTCAGGATTTGGCTTTCTGATTCCCCCTTGAATCAGACTAAATTCTCAAATTATGTTGTACATGAAAATATTAACATTAATGATATCTGCAATACATTAATGTTGATTCTGTTCTGTTTACCCTAAACAGCAATAATCAGATATTCCTGTTGTCGCTGACTAGCTTTGTCGTAGTAACGTTCCATGTGAAGCTAATGAGGAAATGTCTTTCATTGCTCCTTTCACCAAGTGCGTTCCAAACAGCTTCATTATGACACACAAGTTCCCTGCTCCCTCCACTTCAAGGGCTCTGTAGGGCATAGGGATACTCACTTCCGATCGGAATTCACCCTAGTAATTAATAATTAACATATAATATAAAACTAAATAAAATGATTTAAATAAATCATCACAAATAATGCATTTGAGTATAAAATGCAACTTGGAAACGTTTCCTGTTAAATTGCATGCTTACATTTAGAAACAATTTCAAGCCATAAACTTACTCGTTCAACTTTTTTTGTTACAGTATATGTAGAAAAATCCAAATGAATTAAACTTGACATCCCTGAATTAAAAAAAAAAAATCTTGATTTTGACAATGCTTGATACAAAACATATTCTTTCCATATCCAATCTCAACCTAGATTTCTCCACGAGTTTGGCCAGTTCTGCCACAGCTGTTACAACCATAAAATGCTCAATGTAATTTGATTTCCCACTCAAATATCTGATAGTCAAAAATAGGAAACATCCTAATTGCTCAGCCTCTCTTGAGAGGAACTGACATACACCATGATCTCATTCAAACTCTTCACTAACTTAAGTTCCTTGTCTTGACGTACAAGGACCAAACAGTCTTTTAAAACATATTTCTACTCTGTACTGCTGTGTTGCTCCATGAGTGAAATTTGTGTGATTAAGGGTATACAAAATTGAAAACGAAACTTGCACAATGGATGTTAAACATCATAACGTCATTCCTGTTAAGGTGAACGGGGGGCACTAATGGGCTATTTTTATATTTTATTTATTTTCATTATTTACTACACAAACTAACCAAGTTACAGTAATAAAAAATAATATGTTTTAAAGGAAATAAAAATGTGTCTTTCCCAGGCACAAATCAATTTTACTCATTCAGTTTGTTTTTATACACAATTCGTGTTTTTATATTTTGTTTATGTACCGGTAGTCTTTGATACCACATTGGGTTTTAAACTTCATGCTTGCAGGACTGAAAAGAGAAAAAGCCTTAAGCTTATGCATTAGAAAAGGCCACCATGATCCAGAAAGACGGCTCCTTCAGAGCCACTCTACAGACGGCAGGTGGTTTTAATCCACCAGACAGAAAATAATAAGCTCATGGGAGAATTGAAGAAAAGTCGCTCTTTTTAAACAAGCATCTGTGGGGCTGATCTAGGTTCATGAATGCTAGGTTACATGGGTCTTACTCTTTTATTGTCCCTCCAACACACACATCTTCAGAATCCCTCCAACCAACAATGATTTCCAGACATACTGCAGAATACCAGCACCTCTCCTGTCAGGTACAGCTGAAATACTTCAGCTAAATTACTGACGGTCCTCCATTGTTCCACTGGTGATCATAACTCAGAAAAAAGACCAGAGTTAACCACTTACAGGAGGAGTTTGAGAAGAGTAAACTGAAAGGATGAAGGCATTAAAGAATTACCTCCAAGGTCTTCTTTGGAGGATACCAGACGAGGTGAGCTGTTCCCAGGTTCAATCTTCAACGATAGCCTGCATAAAAGGGTTGTGACAGGGTTATAGTCAATAAAATATCATTTTTTTGGCCACATGGTTTAAACTACAGAAACATTTGTACAGTCTTCATCAGTATTTCATTATGTCCTTTTCAAGCTCAACAATTATGCTCTGATACGGGAAAAGACAATATAGATCATTTTTACAGAAAGACTATTGTTTTTGAAGCAAAGCACACAAATAATAGCTGTAAATAATGTAGTGTGGTGAAAGTTAGTTCCTCAAGTTAAGATTAGTATTTGCTGTTATTATCCTTTTTGCACTGAGCTTCACCCCATTACCTTCCTCAAAATATTTTGAATATAACAGGGGAATGTAGTTTAGGGACCAATTCTCCCTATTAACTAGTTGGTTATTAGCAAGCATATTACTAGAATATTGGCTGTTTATTAGTAATTATAAATCACATATTAATGCCTTATTCTGCATGACCATATTCTACTTCCCTTAATCCTACCCAATACCTAAACTTAACAACTACCTTACTAACTATTAATATGCAGTAAATAGGAGTTTATTAAGGCAAAAGTCATAGTTAATAGTTAATAGTGAGAATTGAACCCTAATCTAAAGTGTGACCATACACACGCACACACACACATATATATATATATATTAGGGCTGGGAAAAAATTAATCGTGATTAATCGCATCCAAAATAAAAGTTTTGTTTACATAAAATATGTGTGTGTAGTGTGTATAATTATTTTGTATATATAAATACACACACATGCATGTATATATTTAAGAAAAATGTGTTATTCATATAAAAATATGTATATTTATATATAATATAAATGATGTATAAATATATATACAGTATATACATGCAAATATTTCTTAAATATATATATGCATATGTGTGTATTTATATATACAAAATAATTATACACACTACACACACATATATTATGTAAACAAAACTTTTATTTTGGATGCGATTAATTACGATTAATTTTTTCCCAGCCCTAATATATATATATATATATATATATATATATATACACACACACACACAGCACACAGGACACAACAAAAAAATGATGTTGGTCCGGGTACATTGGGCTTGAGATAAAAAAAAATTGTTTCAAAGTTTATAATAATAATAATAATAATTCATTACATTTATATAGCGCTTTTCTAGGCACTCAAAGCGCTTCACATAGAAGGGGGAATCTCCTCAACCACCACCAATGTGCAGCATCCACTTGGATGCTGCACATTTAAAACACACATTTATGTGTGCTTTAGAAAGGAATGAAAAAAAAACAAAAAAAAAACAACAACAACACTTTTTAGGCATAAATGGAACACATTTCTGCAAATGACCTCTTTATAGCCAGCTCCATAGAGCTCGCTGTAACAGCAGTGCCAGATGGCAGGACATGCTGTAAGTGTAGGCTAATGGTTTTAAGACTGTTACACTGGATCGCTGAGGTTTTCCAACCCCACAGACTGCCAGACGATGATATCATTCCCCACAAACACAACTATTACCCTGCAGTCCCATCTATTCCACCAAACCCATTCTCCTCTGGCGGCCCTGCATCCTTTGGTGTTGTCAGAGGACTCAAAGTGCCTGAGACAACTTCACATGGAGCCCAGTGACTGTCTGTATGTCTAAATTTAGGCACTTAATTATGGTGCAATGAATATTCTTGCATAAATAGGACCTTTTTGGGTAAAAACAGTTGTATTTTGTACAATACATTATTTTAGTGATCTTTTGACCAGACACACTATTTTAAAACTCAAGTTCAAGAACCAGATAAAGATGTTAAAACAAATAATTTAAAGCTTCTTTATTTACATCTGAAATAGTGTGCCCTTGGTATTACATCTTCATGACTTCATGTATTTCTCATTAATATGGTACAGACTCTATGTAAACACTTGTGTCTGTCTGCATGGCTTAGTTTCACTTGAGAAGTTTCATCTGATACTGAAGTAAGCCAGGCAAGTAATTTTTTTAACGAAGCATGGAAAAAACTTGTGAATTATGTCACTGTGCCAAAAAGGTGTCTTTCTTCATTTTCTCATATGGAGTTGTGTTTGAAAGCTTTACCAGACCAACAGCTTTAACTCATTACTGTCGTCAGTCAGAATGGGGCTCTAGAAATGATTCAGTGAGGTAAATTACACCAAAGCAAAATAATCCTTCTTTCCTCTAAGGAAACAACTCAAGAAGATCTTGATATATACAGAATATATATCTCACAGTATTATACAAATGTCCGGTCTTTTATCTGCCTGCATAAATCAGAAAAAAAACATATTACATTGTCACAATTATGGTACAGTTCTTTCTGTCCCTATATACATATATATAAACTTTGACACCCCACTTGAAACAGTCAACACCTAACTGGAAAGTAACTAACACATCCACATGGAAACAGTGGAAATATGGGCATCCAGAGTTTTGCAATTCCCAATGTTGCGTTTATAAGTGTCTAGACAGCAAGAAATTGGACCGCAATAAAACCACCTGCCCTTTGTGCAAGACAGACAGACAGGACCACACAGTAGGTCTGAAGAGAACTACCGGAGGAAACAGGGAAAAGTCATTTAATGATGATGAAAACATCAATGCTATGCTTGTCTTTGTAGAGGCAGAAAGCCACATGTATGCATAATGCATAACACGTGTAGCATGTAACATTGAAGCATTTCTAAAATGGTACTTTTACAATTATTTTTTCATTACATTTATTTTGTCATACATCACCTAATGTGTATGGCACATTTTTTTTTCTTCAGAAAACCATATTAAATAAGACTGTGCTAGGAAAATAAATTGTACATAATGTAAAGGAAATAAGGATTATATTGTAGCGTGAAGTCATGCCAAGCTGGTGCAGCTGTGGCCGGGAAAATTAGGTGCTTGGTCGGTCTTTGGGCCATGCAGCCAAACCAAGAAGGCTTAAAGTCCACAGACAGCACATGCTTTAATAAATACTATAGGCAGCTGGGTAAAATGAAGTGTTAAAACAAGGGAGGGTCTTGATTTACGGGCGTCTTTCAGATGTGGGTAGTTTAAAGTGAAAGCTGGCATAAACATTTAAGAAATGCAATAAATTGCAGGGCAGAACGCAAAGCAAAAATCACCCAAAACAATCAATTCAGCTGAATAAAGGCTACTGAGCATTACAATGTGTTTAGGTAACTTACGTGTAATTGTCATCCTCCACAAACTTCTGAAGCTCCTCGATGTAGCGCACAGACATCAAATACTTCTGCACGTGTGGTAACATGACCAAATGATCTGTGGTGTGAATAAATGTGGAGATGAAATGTAAATTATCTGCCATCAGCACATAGACTGTGTGCAGGTTTATAATTTTTTTGCTTTCCTTTTTTATTTATATTACAATTTCTTTGTTATTTTTTTATTTCTAGTTCAATCATGCAACTCTAGAGGGTGCCGGCTGATAAGTCCTTTACATGAAATCTGCCTCTGCTGATCCTGCAGCCAATGAGATTGCTTGCTCAACATTTCTGAACCAAGTCTGGTTCCTTGTTTGTTGTAAGCTAGTCCTGCAGTCCTTCAGAGTTCCTCTGAAACCCCCCACCTCCCCCAGCTCCACCTGCCTATCTGCTACAGGATTTATGTATGACTATTTATGCAGCAGCAGCATATCTTACATGCTAACAGCAGTGTGTCTGTGTATCTGTTAGCTGTAGCAAGTGCATACTTGCTCTGCAGCAGCAATAATCAACAGCAGAAGCAGCATTAACATCGCCATATTCAATAACATGCTAAAACTATTCCGAGTTGTCGTGATTGAACTTTCTTCAACAACATCTTAACATTAATATTTAAAAAAAATATTGTGATGAAATATAAGATGAAATGCAAAAAGTAAATGGTACTTGCAAAAATAATAATGTAATATGAAAATTAACGTTTTTTATTAGCAACGTACCATAGTTACAGGACACCTGTAGGTCGGAGATGATGCGCAGTAGATTGTTCATCTGATTGGTTCTTTGCTCAGTCTCGATGATGCTGTCAGAAGCAGGGTAGGCGGAGTCAATGTAGGTCATATCAAACAGGTAAATTCCTAATGTAAACAGAGAAGAAAAAGTGTTTATATACATGGGTTGAGAGGGAGATCGTTTCATTCATAATTAATGTTTTCTCTTTCAATTGTAACTCAAAAGGTGAAATTCAGAAAACTGTCTTGGTCACTTTTTTTATATATATAGACTGTATGTATAGTGCATGATTTGTATGGACTTTTATGACACTTTTATGCTGACAGTTTGAAGCTTGACAGTTCTTATTTACTGTGACTTATTCAAAAGTCTGGGGTCAATACAACTTTTTAAATGAAAATAATACTTTACATTTATTTAAGTTATAAATTATATAGCATAATGTTAAAAAAGATTTATATCTATTACAATACCTCTATTTCAAATACATGCTGTATTTTTGAACGTTCCATTCATCAAAGAATCCTAAAACATTTATTATGGTTTCCAAAAATATTAGCAAAATGCAAAAATGTTTTCAATATTGATAACAATGAGAAATGCACCAAATCAGCATATTTGAATGATTTCTGAAGGATCATGTGACACTGAAAACCAGAGTAATGGCTGCTAAAAATTCAGCTTTGCCATCACAGGAATTAACTACATTTTAACAATAGAATTACAATTTTAAATATGAAACAGTTATTTTAAATTGTAGAATATTTAACAGAGCTGTTTTACTGTATTTTTGATCAAATAAACGTAGCCTTGGTGAGCACAAAAATCTTACCGACCCCAAACCTCTGAATGGACTATCGGTTATTCTTCAAAACTTCACCTTTTGCGCTTCATGGAATGGGTTATAAGAAGTACTGTAATTGATTATTTTTTGGGGGTGAAGTATTCCTTAAAGATGGATTTACAACAAACTTCTAATTTTAAACATGTAAAAAAAAAAAAAAATCACATACTATCCACACATCAGGGCGCTGAACTCAGTGTTGTGAAACTTCAAGGCTTTCCATTTTCCACTCTTTTACTACATCTACACATTTAGTTCAGAGAGAACTCTCTCCAGGATTCTCATGAACACTGGTAATTGTCAGGTAACAGGGAGAAAACTAAATGGCATGCAGTGTCTAAAAGAGTGGCCTGGAGCTATTGCCTGAATGTTCTTGCTTGCTTGCTAGAGTTCTGTTTCCTCTACAGGATTCATGAAGCAGCTTGCTAATAAGCAGGTAGAGGTTACGAGTCTGTTAATGAGTGCAGTTAGTCAAAAACTGAAGAGTGAAGATGTACTTTACACAGTCAGTGGGATGAGTCTGCTTTCTCACGCCAAGCCTAAAGACTATCCGTGGCTTAACTATTAAATTACAGGAAGGTGAGAGTGGATGTTCTCAGTGAGTGAAGAAAGCAGGATAAGTTAGCTCAGTAAAGTGAATCTGTGCAGCTAAAAACTTTCAGTAGCTTCACAACTTTTCTCCCACTCTATTGTTAAACCAGATGCCACACTTGTTCTCTGTAATCATACACTTGTAAAATATGGTCAATGTTCTTCTCAAATGGCCAGAAGTGGATAGTTTTGACACCTGGTCCTGAGCCTGAATAAACCGATCTTCTTTGTGGTTGACAGCTCTCATTACTGCCCAGATCTGATGTGTAGCCTATTACCACTTCTGTCTGATTCTGTCTGGTTGAAATAGACTTTTATCGGTTTGTCATTAGCATGAAACTATGATTTCAGTTGAAAAAAAATGCAGGGTTAACCTTATATGGAATACTACTGGAATACTATATTACCATTCAAAAGTTTGGGATCAGTAAGATTTTTAAAAAAGAAATTAAGATTTATTTTCAGCAAGAATACATTAAATTGATCAAAAATGACATTTATAATGTTACAAAAGATTTCTATTTAAAACAAATGCTGTTCTTTTGAACTTTTTATTAAATCAAAGAATCCTTAAAAAAAAGATCAGTTTTCACAAAAATCTTAAGCAGCAGAACCGTTTTCAACAAAATGAATATGTTGAAATACATTAATTTAATATATATATATATATATATATATATATATTAAAATAGAAAACTTCTATAGAATAGAAGAATTTTAACAATATATTTGACATTATAGCCGCGTTTCCACCGAAATTACCCGGAACAATTTGTCCCAGGAACTTTTTTCCCCCCAGACCTGCTGTCTGCGTTTCCACCGCTGTCTAAAGTACCGGGAAGATTAGGAAAATAGTCCGCTGACGTAGGTCTGCACGTAACTTTCCAGTTCCCGATGGATTTCATTCTCTGAATATAAGCTTAATAAAGCCTGAACCTCGTCGTCGGTCCATCGGTCATATTTTTAAAACTTGTTTGTTGATACGAATAGTAGGCTAAACAACTGTTACTGCACGCACCGCAACAGATAAAAAAAAAAAAAAAGATTGTGATTGAAATAAAATGCTGCATGGAGTCAACAAATCAAAATGCGGCATGAACTCAACCAATCAGCGCCCAAGTCCCACCCCTGAAAGTTTCTGAACTTTGAAAAAGTACTACCGTAACCTCGCCAGCAGGGACTTTCGGATGGGGAAATATTTACCCGGAACTTCATTTAGACCCTGGTTCCTGCAGAGTACCACCCCAAAGTCCCTAGTTCCTGGGGAAAGTTCCTGCGGTGGAAACGCGGCTTATTACTGTTTTTACTGTATTTATTCAAAGAAATGCAACATCGGTGAGCAAAAGATGCTTCTTTCAAAAACATCAATATTACCGACCCCAAACTTTTTAACGGTAATGTCCATAAATATTAGGGCTGTCAAGCGTTTACAAATTCTAATCGAAATTACACGACGTGGTGATTAATTAATCTAATTAATAGGGGTGGGAATCTCTAGGCACCTCACGATTCGATTCGATTACGATTCAGAGGGCTGCGATTCGATGCTAAATCGATTATCAGAATCTTTTTTTTGTGTGTGTGTGACTATAAATACTTTGCTTTAAAAGTACAAAGTAATGACCCATAAAGAATTAACGTACAATATATTTTATTAACATTGCAAAGAACCAACAGGAAAATACATGTGTGTCTGAACAAGCAGCATATTTGTAGTAAATTAATAATATAACAACGACCGGTAACGTTACAGCCGAGTGTTTTTCCTCCTCTGGCTGGAAACGTGTCATTTGGCTTCATTTGTCTTGTTTCCGAAATATTTTAGTTTTACTCTACAAAGCTTACAACTAGTGTGGCTCTTGTCCAGCTCCTTTCCCCCTTCAACTTCAGAAGCCAAAATATTTCCACACGTCAGCTTTTAACGAGGAGGGTGTTTGGATTTGGCGCTCAGCCATCGCGTCCGCGTCTGTTATGTGCACGCCACAGACGGTCCGGCCACTGCACTTCCGCGCTTCAGAGTTCCGTCTTTCGCGTTCCGTCAATATTACGTTATTATAAATATATATCTAAAAAAATTTTTTTTTTTTTGAAAATCGATTTTTGACAATTGTGAATCGATTCAGAATCGTCCACGTCCGCATCGCGATGCATCTAAGAATCGATTTTTTCCCCCACCCCTACTAATTAATCACCCCCAAAAGATCATTTAAAGTCATAATTGTGTTAAATGAGAAAAGCATCAAATAGACATAACAAAAAGTAGCTTTAGAATTTTTTATTTATTTATTTGATTCAACATAGTATTTTACTTTTAGGCTTCAACGGCCATGAGGGTGAGTAAATGATAACAGAATTTTAATTTTTGGGTGAACTATACCTTTATCTTATCCTTTAACTATACCTATACCTTTAATGCTTTAATGTATTAATATGGAAAAATGAAAAAAAAAAAAAAATGCAATAAAATGATACACTAAATAAGAAACCAAAACTGCCAGTAGGTAGCAGTAAATGTCTAAATGAGTAAGTCATTGATTAATTCCATTCGTTCAAGTGGCTGATTTATTCAGGAATTAAAGGTGCCCTAGAATGTTTTTTTTTATTATTTTATAATGTTTCCTGGGTTACCCTTATAATGTTAGTATGTTTTTTAGATAAAAAATAATCATAATTTAGAAATAAATGGCATTTTTCCTAGCCTGCTTTTAGCCTCTGATTTGAACACTCTGTTTGAAGGGGCGTGTCTGCTGTGGGATTCAGTGTAACCGCGGCCACTGCTGTGATTGGCTGACATGCTTACATATGAAATAGCTACGCATTACATGTGAAACTCTCTCCCGAATACTTTTACTACTGCTATTATACGTTTTTACTATAACAGCTATCGAGATTAACGAATCGTGAGATGTTTTTAAAGTATTTAGATCTATTCCCATCACATAAAATGTTGCCGTGATGAGCATTGAGCAGATGACAGTGTGTTGATCGCGAGAATGAAGATCTTATCATTGCAAAGCAGTTTCTGCACTCTCTCTGCTTTTACCAATGCAAACACGATGATGTAAATACAGTAAGAGCTTCGTTGTGCAGTAACGTGCGTCATTGATTTCATAACGAGTTTGGCAAGTGTCCAGATAAACTCGCGCTGTGTGGAAAGATTGTTCTTTGATCGCTTTCTGTATATAATTTGTTCACAATTTAAATACGATTATTTTCATCCTACTAAAAGAAACGATGTGAAGCTGATATTTTAGTCACTGGCTTGACTTAGTGATGCATAAACAGTATTGAACGATTTTGAGAGAAAGATTACCCGTCTGAACTTGAACAATTACACATCAGAAAGTGTTGCTTGGTAGCTCGATCCGAGGCCAGCTCTGTATTGGCCCAAGTTGAGGAAACAGTCGGTGAAATGTTTGGAAATTTCCAGAGAAAATAAAATTAACCCATTGTTTCTTCAGAGGCTCAGATGAAGGAAAATACTTTTGTGTTCATGTGTACATCCACACTGAGCAACTGCCATGCTTCGGCTGCGCAGTTCCGCCTGGCATTGAGGGCTGGCATTATGCAAATATTTGGAGGCGTACATATTAATGATCCCGACTTTTGCGTCACAGTCGGTATTGTGTGGAGAACCGACCGTTTTTCAGGGGTGTTTTTCATAAACGTGAATTAAATGAGAACGCGAAA